TGAAAGTCTTTTACACATTCACTAAGGACTGGGATACTTTCCATTGTGCTGCTCTCCTGGAGTTACTTTTAGTTGTTCTAAAAGGAGCCTTTGCTAGCTGATAAAATTCAAGTGTTTTATTGGCCGAATCCAGTTCAAAAGCAGATGCAGGAAAAAGACCACCTTGGTACAAGGATAATGTGGTATTATATTGCTATGAATAATAGGAATTTTAGACACAAAGCTCTCAATTTCCAGAGTGAAAACCAACCAAGTACTGTACTTACTGCAGTTTCCATTTTTTTCCCATTGCACCATATGTCCATTGTGTCTTTCTCTGTTGAAAGACGAAAAAGAGATTGAAGTTCAGTCCTACGGATCACAAGACACAATTCCATACATTTTACTTAAAGTAATTGTAGCAGAAAGAATACTACGACTAAATGAAGCCAACAGGAATCGCATTGTAGGAGGTGCAGAAATGGATATCAATGCAGAAATATTGTTAGAGCTGAGTTAAAATCCATGTGCAAAAAGCACCAATCTTGTGTGTGTATGGGTAGATTATGTACACACATATGTGACCTGGGCATAGGAACAGCTCACTTGTGTAAATAACCTATTTAATGTTGACTGAGAGCATAACTGTCCTTTTTAAAATATTTCAGAGATACAAGTTAAACTTTTCCTTTGTAATCAGACTGTGAACTCACCTTAATTCACCAGCATGATGGCATCACATGCGTAGCTTAATTATTTCTTAGAAAAAGTTAAAAATAAAAGCTGCACTCAGCACTGTGCTTTCATTGTCAATACTGTACCTATAAATACTAAAATTGTGATTTAATAATATGTCAATAATGTTACACTTAAACTGCCACGTTGTGTAAGGTCAATACAGAATCATCACAGAAGGACCAACAACTGCACAGAATGATTATTGTTAACAAATAGATTAATAATTATATTCCTAAATGTTAAATGGGTCTAGTCTATTTAATAATGAGCAGCGAAAGCAATTTGGAAGAGTTGAAAATCAACAACCAGTATACAAGAGTGGAAACTCAGAGAGCTTGCTCAGTGAGTGAGCTGTAAATCAGAGTAGAAATCACAAGGCGCACCAAGTCTTATCAAGTCGGTCTTACTGCAGTAGAGGGTAACAATCTTCACAAAAAAAGCAGCTCTCTTGAAGAAGCCTTGCAGGAAAACCACAGGGCTGGAACACTGTGCTTCCGTGACAGTAGGTTTTAGAAATGACTGCCCTACCTGCTTTACCTTGGACTTGAGCTGTAGACCTGGCCAGGCAATATTAGCACACCTGTGGCTGGAACACCACACAGGGGGCTAGATGGCTAGACTGAAATCTGTTCCTATGCTACAGTTTCTGAAATATTTCACTGCCTTTCAAAATTAAATGCAAGAGGCACTGTGCTGTAGGGGGTGGGGCTACATTTCAGTAGTGAATGAAGTGGATCCTTTCATATATATAAATATTACATTTATAAATATATACATTTATATAGAGAGTGTTCCTGGATCCTTTACACTATTGTTATTTATAGTGGAAGCTTTGTAATTGACCCTTTTCTACTGAGATAATAACTGCCTTTCTCTGATCATTAGAGGACTGTAGCTTTCATAGTGCCATAATCATAGCATTTTAGATCTTGTTAATGTAAGGCCATGCTAACATCTAGTTCATTAAAGATTACAGCAAAACAATGCCAGTTACCACTTGATATACAATGATGATCTGTTCACAACTAACCTATAACAGGTTAAATAGAGGATTATATCTATTAATAAAAAAAGGTTAAAGAAAAAAACGTACAGTACCTAGTACAATCCTGCAGTCCACACCATCAAGATTAATCACCCACGTATTGGTAGTCTTCGATCTGTTTTCCAAAAACTTCTTGAGACTTTTCCCATTGATTTCTAGAGTATATTCATAGCCAAAGCCACTGACGGCATCAATATTTATAGTGGCTTTTGTTTCTGTGTCCCCAACATTGAACGTTTCTTTTCCAACCAGCTTGAACATCCACTCCCTTCTTATTATTTCCTGACAGCAAAACACAATAATAAAAAGCTAGTTCATTACAAAAAAACGACAAAACATTCAGAAGTTTCTGAACAGAATGCTCGCAGTTACAAGACTGCAAGTTTCCACATACTGCAGTGATGAGAGATTATCGCTGAACAGGTCTGGAGAATTGCTGCACTATGCAGCAGAGCCTGCAGGAGGAGACCTGTGATTACTTTTCAGCTTGGGCCCTGAAAACATGAAACACACAAAGTGCTTCTAACAACAGAAAATAAAAATGTTCCTCTACATTTCAGGTGCAATGGCGACATTTAAAAAAAAAAACAACAACCCAATTTTATGCATCTTGCACAGCTCTAAAACATGTGCCCTGAGACTTAAGCTGCAGAAATTCACAGTCCTGTTTCTTAGACTATTTAGACAGGCATCTTGAAACAAACCGGTGCCAATGCAGCAGGAGACCTTGCAGTAATGACAGAAAGGCTTGTCTTTACACAACGCAGGCCAATTCTGATGAGCGCCTGTGTTCTTCAGGTCAGCATCTACTCCTAGATTAACCTTAATAAAATGTCGCCTCATACATCGCCTGTGTATTAAGCACCAAAAAAACAGCTGCAGTAAAAAGGTCTCGGGGCCCACCTTCCCATCAACGTAGACCACACGTTTCCCCGATGTCGTCCCGTGCTCGAACTCGATCTTGTGCACCCCGTCACTCAGAGCCACCTCCCAGACCCCCACCAGGTCGGTCATCCTGTCCAAGTGGCCGTAACGAGACCTTTAAGCAGGAAGAACAAAAAACGAGAAGTGGAAAAGGCAGCTGCCTCACCACAGGCATTATGAAGGCCTATTCCTCCAGCACGTGAAAAATGTATGTGCTTAACAGACGCTCCACATAATAGGTAATCTAATCACCTGGGCAGAAAAAAAAAACCTCTCTGCAGCAATGCTATCCAGGGCGATCCCATATGTGCATGCTCAGCAGACTGTCCATTTCTTTAATGAGCTTACGAACACATGCGCACATACAGCCTACACACCTCAACAAAGCATCACACAAAGTTCAATGCATTTTACCAAAGGATACTTCCTTTATTCCTCAGGGGGAACTGCTGTAGTATTAATGCTCCAACCCCATTCAGAGTTGCGTCAAGTCATAGTTTTATCAGCATTAGAGAACATGGAAATAACACTGCATGACTAAAAGGCTCTCCCCATCTTTCTAATTAATCACACTTGTTTGCTTGCAGGCATTCACACACAAGAAGACAACAACGCCGCACTTAACAGGAGCAGTTAAAGGGCTCGTGAACAAGGAACAGCGGATAACGTAACAGCACTTTTATAGAAATACAAAACACTGCAGCACATCTAAAACACGGGCAAATAAACAGAGACGCACACCGTTTCGACAATACAATAAATGGACAAAACTATGAGGAACCCCCACGGCAAAACGTGTTAGGCCTCTGCCAGCAAAGGTTTGAGCAGGGCGTTAGTCAAGTGTGAGTTATTCACAATGGGTTATTTCACAACATACAGCCTGGTTCCAACCCTACGAGTTTTAATCAGGACGAAGATCTGGAAGGGAAGGTGTTGGAACTCCCTCATATTTTTGTCCGCCGAGCTTTTAAAACCCACAGGGAAGACAACAGCCGGGCTAACGCGACCACTGCGAAGGGCACTTCACCAATATTGATACAGTTGTGAAATGATATGGTTTACCTCACTTCATCCTCACAAAGTGTAAAGTCTTCTCGGGAGGCCATGGCCACAAAACACCCACTTTAATCCAATTAGCGTTCAAGGACAGCAGAAAGGGGGAAAGGCACAGAACAGTTTCAAATGGACATCCTTCCGAACATTATGATAACCAGCTAGTGCCAAGAAGTGTGCGTATCCCATTGAAATATATTTTTTCCTAAAAAACGGTCCTTAAAACAACGCTCTTTAATTAGGAGCAGTGAGTGCGGGATCTTAAGATGATCAAGACTTATCAACGAGCTACAAATAGACGCACGGCGACCAAATGCCTAGTAGACACGTGTAAAATACTGTATAACACCTTTTTAACACGAAAAGAAGATCTGCGTGATCAAATGTAAACACAATCGTCAATTTTAGTTTTTAATCCTAAAAAGTTTAAAACTCTACTGCTGCATTCTTCCAGGGCAAATTATAACCCTTTTTTATATAAATGACGTTTCTGTTCGTTAGTTTAGTGGCACAATCAACTGGTTTCAGATGGTTATATTTTTAAAGAAAATGCATTTAATTACAATCCGCGGTTTGAATTCAGAAATGGTAAATCTACACCGCAAAACACTGCCGAGTCACGTCATCTGCCTACTGTACATACACGGAGGTTTATATGGGGCTGCTAGTGCCGAAGGACGTGATCTTCTATTTGGTAATATTTTTAAAGTTTTTTTTATCATTTACTCCCGTCTGTCTGATTTCTGTTTTGTGTTGTTACGCAAAATACCGATAAAAGGACACAGATCTGAACAAATTGCCAGATTTAAGAAATGAATCCTACTAACTACTTGACGTGGTTCTCCACGTTTGCAATTTCTACTACTAGTTTCTACAAAGAATAAATTGCATTTACAAGTCTCAAAATCACGATGAAATAGTTTATTGCACCTTACCTGCTGCTTAACGCAGGTATTAAACTGATTCTTGCAACAGACGAGAATACCGTCACTATGGAAACGCAATGCAACCTAGTGTACAGTTAACTGTGCAATTTACACATTAGCGTGTCAAAATCGTGTCGGTAATCTAACATGAATAATACGATTACGCATTATTTCTGTTACCTTTTGTGTCTAAATATGTATGTGAATTCGGTTTAAAATGTTCTATTCACTCTTCACACACACCAAAAAGGCACAAAACAACGCAAACCTCGCAGTGACGTCACTGCAAGGCTTGTAAGATCTCTGCGTTCCTCGCGATATTACGTTAACAAACCTGCCTTTCTTCCTACCCGAATTCCTGAGAGTTATTTCACATATCTATGGTAGCGACACGCGATTGTCCAGACGTCCCGGAAAACTCGCAGTCCCTCAGGATGTAGCCAATCGCAGACGTCCCTCCTCTGAAACCACACCTTCTGCCCCCGCCCAAAAGGGGCGTGTCAATAAACGGATTCGGGTGGGAATAAATGATATTCCGTGGCCCGAGATTTTCTTGAAAGTATTAACATATTATGAACTATATGAGTATTGGTTTTACCAATGTTTCCGATTTCACCATTTATTAGGAAACAAACAATTTCACAAAGTTCAGTACCAATGCCATACAGTCACGAACGACTGCATGTCGAGATTAGTTTTTGCTAGTGTTGTGAAAAGGCACTTATCAATTTTCCTATGCATGCATGTGGAAATTTTTTTCCCCAGTACGTATCAATTATATTTTGTTCTAGTTGCTTCTGGAATTGGGAAGCAATTTTCTCCCAACATTTTGGTATTTAATTATTCCCCAAGCCCTGCCTGCCTCAGTGCTGGAAAACTACTGTTTGTGTCACCAGTGGACCTGCAGAAAGTTAGTTTCCAAATATACAGCATAACTCCCCCATCGAATAAAAGCGGATTTATTAAGAAACAGAAAAAATGACTACATTTAACATTGTTGTGCACCGTTGACACGCAAGAGGAGCAAACAACAGTCTCAGCAGATTGACAAATAACTGTCCCGCACAGAGCCCGCGGGGGCTGCGGTTCGCACACGTGTTTGAGTTCCCTCCTTTGATAGGCCGCTGTAGTCCGTCAATCACATTCCTCTAGCCAATTACCTCTCGGGGTGGAGGGATGGGGCGGGCCATCGCCATTCCGTACTCTCCTATTGGTTGAATTCCAGGGAAGTTTCGCTTTACTTAGCCGCCGCTGTGTATTTCAAACCGTCTCGAGCCCGCACGTAAAAGTAAGATTGCACCCAGAGGGTTGCAGGAACGCAATACAAATATTTCTTAAGATTAAAGGGGGGGGTATCAAAACACTGTTCCATCATAAGAGTAGGATATTTATGAAAACAAGATTGCTGCCCAACATACAGGTAAGGTTACGAGCCTTTCAGCAACCCTGCTTTTAACGGCTTCTGACCGCTTTTGTATTTCATTTATCCACGTTTTTAAAACAAGTGTGCGCGACAGCTAGTTGTAAATGAGAACGCACAAGACGCCGCTTGGCCGTGCGAGTACGGGGTGCTGAGGCTGTCCCTCTGGCGCCTACTTCCGCAGCGTCTTGTTTAGCAGTTTCTCCACAAACCTTCTCGGCTGCGAAAGCGTTTTATGTAGCGAGTCTGTTTCTGCGACTAGAGGTTGTTCAGTAATAATGGAGGCTGCACAACCCGCCGTATCTCAAGCCATAAATTGAAATCCATCCCAAATAACCAAGCGATTCACCGAGTAGTGCTCGTCAATATCAACGAGTGGCTGTTCAGCCTGCCGTTCTTGCCCGGCTGCCGAAACCAGCGGTGTGAAGGGTCTCGTTCAGGCGGTTCTGGCAGAAACCAGGGTACCGGCTGCAATTACAGGGGTGTGCATCTTGCTCCAGACTCCCAGACAGTCCTCTCCTGTGAAGAAGTGCACTTTCTCTCCGTTCCCACTCGTACCTTCATGCTCATCTCTTCTAGGGCGGCCTTCCCTGCCTGTTTTTAAAGCAGATGCACCCGTGGCGCGAGATGAATTATTAAATTGGTGCAATTAAGTCGTTAGCTAGCAGACGGTTAGGTCATCAAGAGTGGAGTTGGAACAAGGATCTGTAGAAACGTCGGCCACCATAAGAGCAGTATTGGACAGCCTTGACCCAGCTGTCTTTCTCAACCCATTTCGGAGAGGCAGTATTTATAAGAGGGTTTGTAATACCGTTACCAAAACTATATATAATATTCTAAATACGGTTTTATGAATGCAATATATAATTATATTGATCTTAGAGTAGAACAAAATAAAAAAAAGAAAGAATTAAAGTAACAGCTGAAGTAAGGGAAATATGCTAAGATTATACCTTAATGTAATAGAAGATTCATGTTTGAATTTTATTCACATACTGTTCTTCATGTGCACTGCATTAAAGCCAGGTGCAAGCTTTATGTATGTTTGGTTCCCAGCCATCCTGGTTTTCATTCCAGATGAGCTCAACAGCCGATGAATTAGTTGATCTGCTTTCTTGTTTAGACTTTTATCTTGTTTCATAGGTTGGTTTTGCATGTTAGTTACACCCTATTTACTCTGTTTCCAATACTTCAACACACAGAACTTTCTGCTGCCTCTTCTTATTTCTGACTAAACAGCTCTAATTTATCGATCACCTGATGATCAACAGACACAGGTGGGAATTACACTATCAGACTCGCCCACAGGTGAGAAGGACACTATCAGACATATACTGGGCATGACATTGCATCAGATATATCCATTGTTGGATTGCCTCTTTATTGAACACACCCCCAATGGGCGTGGTCACTGTATCAGACACCCCCACAACACCAGTTTTTTCCCTCTGCAGTTCATAACAGTTCAGGCAGCACACCTGAATGATGGCTGTTCTAAAATTCAGAAACAGGCACTGGTTACATTTGACCTTTTCTGATTTGAAAGTAAATTTACAAACATGCCACAAACCAAAAAGTGAAATCAACTAGCCTGTAGAGTGAAGCAAAACCCAAGAAGACTGATACTCCAGGACCGGGGCTGCAAACCAGTGGCCTAGAAAGCAGGGCAGTTCAGCATGAGGCTCAGTCCAGTCCAGTCCAGTCCAGTCCAGTCCAGTCTACTGCACTCCATGTCAGGTTTCTCTCCAGCCAGCTGTTTAAGGATGTGATTGACAATCATCAGTAAAACAGCTGAGGTGCTGGTTAGTCTGAAGGACTGCAGTGGAGTGGATTGACATTTTCAGTTGAATTTGAAAGATCATGACCTGTATCTGTTCTTGTTGGCTTACATCACCCATTGTGGCAGACGTCTGAAAGAAGGGACATGCTCTTTATCAGCCTTAACTTCACAGTAGGGGTTGACAACCCAGGTCCCAGTGTGACATGAGTCTGACTGGGTTCCATTTCAAAGTCATTAAGGCCTTAATGACTTCCTTAAGTGTATAAGAAGCCCAGTCAGCTGTATTTTCCAGGTGTTAAGTGAAAGATTACTTTCAAACCTGCAGGAACCTGAAACTGCAGGACCAGCTTTGGGCTGTGTGGGCTCAGTGAAAATAGGTCGTTTTTCATGCTTTGTTTGTATTTGTAGTACCTTGTGAAGAAGACTAGACTCCGTATCCCACAGGCATGGCTCATCAGAGCTCGGGTAAGTTAATAAAAAGGACTGTGTCACCTTGAGAACATTTTTCTCTTCCATACACGTATCTGAAAACCAAAATGTTGTAGCAAAACAACTACACTATAAGGGCATGTAAAATAGTGGACTGCAGTACAAAATGCAGCACTCAATACTATTGTTTACCTGAGGGGACTTCTCTCCATCATTAGAAAGCTGCTGATTCTGTTCCGTGCTGCCAATGCCACACGTTACACTTGCAGACACAGACGTTACAACGTAGACACGCGTGTTGTTCATGCAGACACATACGATCCACACACAGATGCGTACGTGATACACACAGACACACGTTAGCCCATCCTGCCTGCCTTTGGAAGGAGGAAGGATACCACAGCATGCGGAGAAAGTTGTTAAGTTTAAAAATCCTTTCTTTTTCTTACAGGTCAAGAAGTGGACAATGAGCAGGTCAGATATTGGTTTATCCCGTGAATAAAATGAGGGAAGGCAGCAGCTGGACGGTGAGGCTGCTCCTGAGCTGACAGCGCTTGCTCTCTGCTCCCATTCAGAGCTCCTGCCGGGGGGCAGTCACCTGTAACCTGACGCCCGGCCCGGCCGGGTGAGGCTGCAGTAGGAAGGAGGGGAGGGGGGCGGCCGCTGCAGACGCAGACAGAGCACCCCGCCGCGGCTTCAGGAGACAGGGCAGCGGCCGGGGAGTCCTGGAGAGAAAAGAGCTGGGCAGGGGCTTCACAGGGCTGGTCCTGTGAGGCGCGGCGGGTCGGAGGATGAGCGCGTTACAGCAGAAGGACAGGACCTATGTTTATGTGTGGACCTGCAGCCAGTTTCAGGTACAGGACGCGCCCCAAGCACAGCTCCAGGGATTTCCTTAACGTTCCCCTGGGATTGAGCACTGGGAAGCAGTTTCTCCCTTTTCTGTGGATCGAAAGGTCATGCCTTTCAGGGTGTAAGCGGATCCTGTTCCCTTACAATGATGAACTGAAGGGAAACCGGTTTATTTTGTTGTTACCGAGCCTTGCTCCGGGAACGTTTTCACTGTGTGTGGGAGAGCCGTCCTGCTTTCTTCATGGACCCTCGTCATTTAGACCTGCGCTCGGTCTGACCCGATTTCGGATTTCCTGTGTGTGCGTGTGGTAAGAGGTGTCGATGTTGGCGTGCCCACAGCGGCGCGGCTCCCCGTTCTGATTGATTTCCTGAGCGGCTGTTTTCTCCGCACTGTGCAGCAGGAGCAGCTGGAATGGGAGGCAGTGAACCGGATACTCCAGCACCACGGGTTCAAGCCCATTCACTTCGCAGACCCCATGGAAAACAAGAACCTATCAGGTGCGGCACAGTCGTGCGGGTCGATGCAATGTCTGCATCATCCTGCAAAATCGTTAACGGAGCCTCTCGTCATATGGGAATGGGAACTGTTTTAGCAGGTGCATGACTGTTTGGCATAAAATATCGAATGGTTCCGTGCTCATTTGTGTCTTTCGTTTATACATTTCTGGACTGACACAAGGTTTTAAGTATGCTTTTGTTGTTTGATGCTCATGTTCAGATATGTGAACCCAGATTGCTTTATAAATTGATTTCAGATTTGAGGTCACGGAGCCTATACACTAAAGAAGCGAGAAGTGTGAAGCTTCAGAAAGAGGCTGTGTTGTAATTTTGTCTGGCATGTGCGTAGTGCTTACACAGTGCCTGGCTGAAATGCAATAGTATCGAGGCAGAGTTAAAAATGATAATATGTAATACAATTACTTCTGTAGCTTAGTAATGCAGCTCAGTTTTGTAATCACAAAGATCAGTGTATTTTTTATTTTTTGGTATCATTAAGCTCATTCATTGTCTCACGTGGCTCAGCTGTGCTGCTCAGCTGCGATACAAACATGACCGCTATTGTTTGCTTCTGTTATTATTCCACTGTTACTATGGTACCTCAAGGAGCTCCGTGTTTCTAAGGTTTTGCATTGTTTTCTGCACCTGGAGCTTGAATTAACAACCTCCCTGCTCCATCTAGACATCCTAAACCCCCTGTGGCTTCGGAGTCACCTGGCCTTTGCAGGGGTTTACTGTCAAACCCCACCTCTTGTGTTCCAAGAATCCTTCATCTCCATCTCTGTCAATTGCGTGTTGCATGAAGAAGCTACTCTCATGTTTAATTTGACATTTCTTCTCTTTCAGATCTGGTTCTGTTGGAGAAAAGGTCTGCTTCCGAAGTGAGGCTGGCTCTGAAGACACTGTTAAAGGACACCGAGAGGAGACAGGCCTTGATCCAGGAGCTGATTCAGACTAACAATCAGCTGAAGTAATTCCCATTCTCATTTCTCTTTGACTTCAGCGCAGGTTTCCGTTCTGTACCCACATTGGCTGAGAGGGTTTATAATGAGACATCAGCACCCTCACCACCAAACACTTGGGGTTTAGTAAAGGAGGACAAAACCTGTATTTGAGTATCTGAATTGGATTCAAATCAAGGGATTCCAGGGGTTAAACTATATCATGACCCAGCGCAGACCTATTTTTAAATCTGTGTCCATTTGTCCTCAACACCACACTATAGAAACGACATACGTGGGTCTGGAGGTGCCAGACATTCTGAAAAGTTAGTTTTTGAAAACCAACATATTGCCAACACCATGAATAAATGAAATCTCTTTGCACTGGGGAAGAAGGAAGCCCATGAAGTAG